GATTATGATTATCATTATTAGTAGAAGTAGTTTATTTGCATTAATTATATTTTAATCTTTTTGAGGCTAGTATTTGGCAGGAAATGCAGACGTATTCACCTGCAAATGCATACTGAATGACAAACATGCACATTTACCATTTACCTCACTGTGTAAAAAATTAACTGTTGATAATAATAATAATAATAAACAGGAATTATATTTGCAAAGTAGCCTACTTTGTTTCCAAAAAAATGTGTTCACTCCTGTCGGTTGGGGGGGGGCCTCATCTCACAATGTCTCACAAGTTGGCAAGGGGCGGCCCTGCTTCCATCTGTGCACAAACTTATCTCGTGCCCTCATTGGTCATGTGCGCGTTCATGTGTGTTGGAGGAGGGGCTCTGTAAGGAAGAGGCAGATTTCTTTCTTTTGTATTTTCAAATTCTAGCGCACTCGAGCTGGTTTCTCCAGAATTACCTACCCCATCTTTAAAGAAAAAATACCTATCAACACATTCTGACAATTAAAGGGCAACTCTTTTCAACTGACTTTTTTTGTGGAGAAAGTACATTTTAGAAAATCTATGATTGCTACTAAAGCTTCTATTTTTTCTCATCATTCAAAAAGTAAATTCATTTGAAAACGTTTTTTTAAAGCTTAATTCATAACTCAATTTTGGCCACCAGGGGGCACAATTACACCAAAACAAGCAGATAGTTATTTGGTTTAAATTACCCATTTGATGTTTGTTTAATTCGATACAACATAATAATTATTAAACCAGCTTTAACTCAATTTTCGAGACACACTCCCACTGTTAAAACTGCATATCAATGTTTCTACTTGAGCACCATAAAGAGCTCTTTTAACCTGTTTAATATCGATTCATAACATCTGTTTCCTTACATTTTATTTTTGTCAACAACAAATGCAAATAACCAAATAAAAGGTTAATAACTGCATTATTTTTTGACAACATTATTTGTTTTGAATAGTCCTAATAAATATAAAATCATTGCCAGTGTGATCAGTTGCAAGTGTGTATTTGTTGTAATAATGACGAAAACATAATAGATTTCATAGTAATTATAATACAAAATAAAAACGATTTCCTTAAAAAAATATGATTCGTCATCACGCTCGTGACTCAAGGGTGACACCACCACCAGCTCGCCGCCTGCCGATTTTGCAGCAGCTCTTTCCCGTTGTAACTGCCATCGTTATTGCAGTGGGGATATAAGATGCACTGGACGCTTTTGGTACACAATGTGTCTCGTTACCACGCTGAGATTGGCCTTTAAACAAGCCCTGAACAGCGGGCGAGTCTACAAACAACGTCTGCGACCCAAGCCCAACACCGGCCAGAGATGTTCGTGTAGACTTCGAGCAATATGCGCGATTATTGTCAGATTGTGAGTGGACTACTTTCCAGAGAGATGAAAGAGCGTACAGGGGGACACTGGACACAAAACTGCTCCAGGTAAGATCTAACTTTGCTGTTACTCACGGAGGCGCAGAGAAGTGGGGCAAGCTGGTGACAATCCTGACCAGCGCTTTTTTCATTAATGGAATATTCTCCGCGACGCAACGAAACTCGCGTCCGTACGGATTCCAGCTTCTGAAATATGTCGCCAGAATCCTGAAGAAATTTCCCTCTTTCTGCCAACTTCCCGGTGGACCTTACACCTGACTCGCTGACACCTTGGATAGAAATGCAGCTTTGCTTCATCCGTGAGAGAATACAACCAGCGCTGCGGGCCGCCGGGACAGAGACACAACGGCAGCAAAGGAAAGTTTCCAGGAACAAGCTGGCATATCTCTGGCAACACCGCAAATCAAAGGCAATCGATATCATTTTAAATAACAGCTGTTTTCCGGAAACCCCGCCCACTGTTAGTGATACAGCCAATGTGTATAACTACTATAAAGCCAAATGTGAAACTGTGCCGAGGGCTACTCCCCTGNCTAACCCTTACACTTAACCTAACCCTTACCCTAACCCTAAACCTAACCAAGTCTTCACCCTAAAATTAATGATTCCCCTCATGGGGACCTCGAATTTGTCCCCATAAGGGAGGCGAGTCCCCACACGTGACTGTGTAAACAGATGTAGGTCCCCACAAGTATAGTAATACTAGGACACACACACACACACACACACACACACACACACACACACACACACACACACACACACACACACACACACACACACACACAAACTCATTAGAGGGGCAGATGGTTCATGTGCTACCTAAACTGAGGGGGTAATAATGTGCTTTTTACATCCTGCTATTAACAGTGTATCAGGTACCAGTAAAACAGAAGTGTGAAGAACAAAGGAGTAACTATTGGACATTTTGAGGAATACATTACACTTTAAAAGGGACAGTTCACCCCAAAATATAATACATAATAACATTTTCCTCTTACCTGTAATGCTATTTAAGTCAGAAACAGCTGTATTGCCAACTAGGTTTACACACACAGTGGATTTGCTTTGGTGTATAATGGTGAACACAATAACACATTAAGTGGAATTAAGTTGTAAAAAAGCAACCCACATATAACTATTATATACAATATATAAGTATTAACATACAAAGAAGTAAGTACAACAATAATCTGATAAACCACTCCAACACATACAGCAGTAAATCAGATTGTTCTGCTGTGAGTTGCAGAGTGTTGGAGATCTCTGAATTGGAAAACTCAACAGTAATTACTGGATTCTGCACTGATAACGTTTTGGGGAGAAGTGGTGTAAACTGAACAGATATTCTGCAAAACATATGAAGTTTTTACTGTACTGTTTTAATAACCTCGTTTTAGTAGGTCTAATTATTACTTCTTCACCATGTCTCGTTTTCTTCTTCTGTGTTTTAGTAGAGGCGATAAGAACCTTATTGGTACTTATTGCAAACAACACTATAAACACTATTCCACTGTGAACTCCGGAAATTGCCAATGCTCTCTCTCCTCATTATGTTTCAAAGCAATCTGCATTTAAGGGAATGATTTATTCTCTCCTGCTGAAATGTATCTTCCTCTACATCATCACAATGAAGTGAGATCTTTCTGAGCTCATCCTCAACATCTGTCCGTCATGCTGGACCCTCTCCAAGCATTACTACTCCTCCTGCAGTACTTCCTGTACGCTGAAGCTGCTCTCAGTGTTCAGCGGGTTGTAAGGAGATTATCACACTGAAGAAGTCTGCTGCAGATTTACTCTCCCTGACCTGAAACTGCTCAGCTGAGCGTCTCCGCCTCGGGGCAGGTGAGCTCCTCCATGGAGTAAACCCCACTGACTGCCAGTAATAAAATATATACGTTTATAGCTGCTCTTTTTGTCCTCTGTTATCCAAGCCATGAGCTGTAATCCTGCATTTGGTGCACTTTCTGAATCAGGAAATATGTAGTTCTTTAGTTTGACTCAATGTCCACTTGCTAGTTTCATCTGAGGTTTTCACAACATCACACGTGAAAAGAGTCAAGGATTATTTATAGAAAGCCAAAATATAACAAGTAATGTCATAAAATGTTTTAATTGAGCGTGTCTACTCCATGGCCGTTTCTCAATGTTGAGTAAAGCTGAAGCAGAGCCACTGGACGTTTCTCAATCGCGAGGAAACTGGCTTCCAAGCCAATATTTCAAGGATACTACGTCATCGAGTGCCGCCGATGCACATGGGTAGACTTCGCGTCCTTAAAATCCCCACAATGCTTTGCGCACGGACCAATTTCAAAAACCCTTGCGGACAATGGCTGAACCGACGCAGCACACATTTAAATGTAAGTATGTAGTGGCGTAGAACATGTGTTGGTAAATATGTTACTTTGTTGCATTTATTGCATTTGTTATCACCAAAAATGTGTTCCGTGAAAGTAAAGCAAGTTCATAATTAGATAGAGATCGTGAGGTATTTATATACGGTACAGTTTATGTTGAAACCGTTAGAGAGAGTGGCACACTTGTTAGCCTGTTCCATTCTTCTTCGTTTTCCGAAGCCGTGGCTTGGAAGTATACTTGCTTCGTTTCTGAAGGAAGCGACTTGGAAGTATGCGACTACCAAGCCAGCATCCTCGCGATTGAGAAACGGCAACTATTTCAAGTATACTACGTCATCGAGTGGCGCCGAAGGACTGTTTAAATCAATGCCCAGCATTCGGCGCCAAGTATACTTGAAATAGTGGCTCTGCAGCAGCTTTACTCGACATTGAGAAACGGCCCATAAGTCTGCCTGGGCAGTAGGTCTGGACCAAATGTATTTTTTTCTTTTATATTTCAGATTTTTGGAGGTTATCCAATTAACATGAAATCATTTAGGATTTTTTCACCCTAAAGAGCAACTGGAAAAGATCTTCAGACAAAATTCTTAATTAAAAAAGAAATTCTCTCAAGTTTCAATGGATTCAATATTAGCTTCTATTTTATTGAATGAACTTTCTTTAATGAATTTGCTATAACTCCTCAGTTACATCAACACAAATAAGTAACTAGACGGAGGCGTGTGGTGCAGTGGGTTGTGCGTTGGTGTTGGGATCAGGGGGGTCACAGGTTCAAACCCCACTACACTCAGCATGTCGTTGTGTCCCTGAGACACTTCACCCCAAGTTGCTCCTGTGGGGATTGGCCACAGTATTGAGTATGTAAGTCACTTTGGATAAAAGTGTCTAACAAGTGAAATGTAATGTAGACGACACAATGGTTGTTAAATAGCTGGTTTTCACTTAATAAAACAAATATAGTCATTTCCAAATTCCACATATGTATTCATTTAGTTTGTCTTTTTGTGAACTCTGAATGTTGAGGATCCAGACAAATGGCTCTGACTGACTCCAGACTGCCGCTGGGGAAGTGAGTAAAACATCCTGAGACTGAAGTTAAACTTTAGTCGTGGTTTCAAATCTGTAGTTTGTTTCATCGTGACTCCAAACCAGGAAGATGACTAAACAGCAACAAGTCTGAACACAAACTCAAACGTCTTCTGATGATATGACTTCAAAGTGTTAAAACCACACACTTGTAAAAAACAACTTTTATTCATTCAAAATTGGGCATTTTCATACAATATTGATCGAGGTAGGAATTAAATAATGAACCAAACACAAGAAATAAAGCAGGCAGTGTAACGGACCAAACACACACAAAGCTCTGAGGAGAGTTAAATATTATTATATCACAACTGCAGCTCCTAAAATAGAACAATCCTTCTTATTACAATGGTAATAATGAACATCTCTCCAAATGAACTCTTAGCATGTGTTCCTTTATATATAATCTTTCTGTTTAAAGTCAAATCTGACAGCAACTTCAAAAACATATGGCTGTGTTGGATTGTGATATTAACAGAGCAGAAAACTAATTAGGACATTTAACTTCTGCGTCGATTATTTAAAATGTTGTTTGTTGTTATATTTATCTGTATAGTTTAGCAAAGTGTAACCTCGTGAAGTCTGCATGGCACCAAGCACTCTGTAATGTACCATTGTTTATTAAAGCGGATAAAAAAAAGTCAGTTTTGACACAAACTAAATATGTCAATTGTAAAACTGTTTTAATGTCAGGAATAATACATTATGTTGCACTTAACTACAAACATGGCTGACGAGTGCAAGCTGGAAGATACACCTGGTGTTTAACATTTTGTATTTATAGATTTGAAATAGCAAAAAAGTTTCAGTCGTAGCAAATCAAATGTAAAACAGACATGCAAAAAAAAAAAAAAGGCTTTTTGTTTTGGAAATATTCCTTCTGTTTTTCTGAGATGTAAACATTAGAACATTACTCCAGAGTCAAATGAGAAGCCTGACCCGTCGTATTTAAGACAATACGGTCCATCAGTGCAAACACTCGTCAGACTGAAAGAAACAACGTCGATTCCTGACCAAGTGAGATGGTTTCTGATCGTCTGGAGTCTCACATACGGAGAGATTTGAAGAACAGATCTTGTGTCGGCGGCTTCTAATTAGACGGTTAGTTTTGTACTGAGAAGGATCCTTTAGTGACGTCATCTGTAGGCTGTGTGGAGGAAGGGCTCTTCTAAACGGGTCGGGAATGAAACCTCACTTCAAATGATTACGGCCTTAGTGGGACTGGGGTTGTGATTTCTGAGCTAATTAAGATATAAATATATATAATATTATTATCAGTGTGTGACTGCTCAGGGATCAGTTTTGTCTTGTGACCCAATAATAAAACAATAAACGTTGTGGACCCTCGTCATGTGGTGTGTACAGTTTGTGACTCATTTATTAAATACTTTTTTTCATGAGAGCAAAAATATGAACTTTTGCAGTTATTCGTGAAAAAAAAGGCAGACATTTTGTTTTTCTTTCTAGTTTTTTTCTCGTTACTTCTCTAATGGATGTAATGACACTTTGTGTGGGTCACAAACCTCAGGTTGGGAACCCTTCGGCTGAAGTCCATTAGTATCTTTCCAGTACTGAGCCGAATCCAGATATCAGCGTCTGACTCCAAAGGCTCGGCTGTTATAATATATAGTTTTAAAGACGCTGTTATTTCTAATTGTGTTGATGTATGATGTATGATGACACCTGAGGAGTGCACTTGTTGAGCCAGGTGAAGCGCTCAACGAGTGAACAATGATTCAGGCGTCTCCTTTAATGTCAGAGTTTGTTTTGCTGAGCGATCCGAGACGTTTCTCTCTCTGCTCTCAGTGCTGCTCAGACAGGAAGTGCTCTCCGGCTCTCACACACACACCGTTTCTCACACCTGCACACACACTCCTCACACTCCTGACAGTTCCTCCTGAGCTGCTCGGTCTCTCTGCTAAAACTTCTCGACTCTTCCACAGCAGCAGGATTGTCTCATGTTCACAATAACTTTCTGTCCTGCATCCTGATAAATAGCTCTCTCTCTCTCTCTCTCCCTCTTCTGATTGGCCGGGGGCCGGGCTGAGCTGCTCCGCTCTTCGTCTCCCTGAGTGCACCTCGTGTTCGTCGCTCCGCCCCTCAGTCGATGCGGTTCCCACAGATGGTGAAGCGGTCGATCTCCAGCAGGTCTCTGTTGGGAGTCCTGTGCTTCAGTTCAGTCTCTGCTGCTGCCTCCTCCTCCTCCTCTCCCCCTCCCCCTCCTCCTCCTCCTCTTTGGAGAGGGGGGGTGCAGGGGGTTCAGGTTCATGGGTGGGAGTCGGGGTGCGGGGGGGTGGAGCAGCGGGGGAGTGGTCAGTAGGTTGGGGGGGAAACAGGTCAGTCCTGGGGGAGGGCTGCGTGGTCACAGAGCAGGAGGAAGAAGGAGGGGGGCTGCAGAGGGTGACGGGGGCCGGCTCCATCTTGGATTCACCTGGAAGGAGGCGAGGAAACAAGGAAGTTATTTAGAGTCGTCCAGATTTTGCTTTGTTTGGGCCCTTTTGTTTGCATCCATTTCATTTGATCCTGTCAATCAATATATTTTCACCAGAACATCTGGTTTATGTTTCTTCCCCCAATGAGCTCTGTGTTAACGATCACATGACATTTTTAGGACAAACTATACTATGAAGATGCGGTTTTGAGCAACACAAATAAAGAAACTCTGAATTAAGCTTTAGGAAAATCACGTCGAGGGAAAGAGGAGGAATCTTTCAGATCATTCTGAGAGAGAAGATACAGTCTAGCAGAGGGTAATGAGCTGTCGCCTGGAACAGGAGAAGGTGTTCTGATGATTCAACACACACACACACACACACACACACACACACACACACACACACACACACACACACACACACACACACACACACACACACACACACACACACACACACACACACCTACACACACACACAACTACACTACTACTTACT